CTCAACGAGGAGTGCTGTGCAGTTAGAGAGCTCGTAGGACGTAGCGAGCTCGATTTTGATGAGAATTTGATGAGAAATATCTCAATTTTGAGCAAAAAACGCCAAAAAAAATCGGCGCCTGCGGCGGGCCAGCCTCCGGCGGCGCCTGCGGCGGGCCGCTGCCCAGACCCCGTTTACACCCGAGCTATGCCCCACGACCTGAGCCGGAGCCTCCCCACCTGCACGAGCTACGACGAGCAGGGGAATTTGGAAAATTGGACCGGGGGACCCGTCACCCGAGCGTTAGAGGGTCCGCAGCGTCCTCGGACACCACTCTCCAGCCGCGCTACTTTCGCCCACCCACCGCTCTCGCATGACATCTCGACAATCCTCATCTCTGGGCCCAGACTCCTAACCACTTCCCCTGCTCGCCCAGGACCACGAAGCGCCGCCCGCGCGCCCATTGACCCCCCAATCAACCCACGCTGTCCCTCAATCGCCACCCGCCAGATGTACTGCCCTCGCCCACCCAATACTCTCACCCTCCTAACCCGGACAGTCCAGGTACAGGAAAAGCGGGGAGCGGGGCCCGATCCAAGGAGTACCCCCGTCGGCCCGGGAGGGCTGTGAATTTCGGCGCGGGCGGAAGGCTGCCTGCAGACGCTCAGCCCCCGGCTGAGCTGCCGAATCCTCCCGGCTAATCCCCTGACCTGCCGCCTGAAACGGGACAACATTACACCACCTCACACACACTCCCCCCTCAGGGCTAAGCAGTGCGCAAGTCCACCCGAACTCCAGGCGAGGCGTCGACCACTCCTTCGGAATAGCTCTGTCAGTGGCTGCACTAGACGCCCAGTGATGGCGCGCGGCGCGGGCGGATGACTGGAAGAGAAAATGCGGAGATGCTAGCTCGCAGGTAGATGTGCTCAGCCAAGGGGTAGGGGATGAGGGGAATGTGTCAGTGTGAGGGGTGCACCAACCGCAGAGCGTTGTGTTTTGCCTTTGAAAACTGAACAGTTTTTTTTCTCACTCCGCACCTACACGGTCGCTTCGCTACAGCGGTTGTCCAGAGTGCGTCAGAGCTCAGACTGCCACTGGGACTAACCTCTTAGTCCCATGGCACCGTGGGCCAGACTGCCTTGGCGCGACGTGCGGCCTCCTTGTCCGCCTTGAGTGCCGCGTCTCGTTTGAGCTGCTGCCACCCTCCCGCACTGAGCAGTAGGTCGCGTAGCGCCGGCAGCTCGGAGTGGCGTGGCTCGTTGGTGATGGCCGTCCCCCAGATGTACTCGCGCTGCGAGTCATCGGCACCCATGACCGCCCACGGCAAGGAGCCGTCGGCGCCGCCGTAGAGAGGCTTGAACGTGTCCACAAAGCTCTCGGCGTGGAGCTGCTCGACCTCCTTGATCGATCCATCGGTGAAACGGAAGGTCGAGATGCTGTGCTTCTTGAGCAGGCCACTTACTTGGTTCTTGTATGTATACGTCTCCTCAGTGGTCATATTGTGTCACTCTTCGCGATGGCCACCACGAGCGGCACCAGCGTGTGCAGCCGCTGCATTAGCTCGACGTCGGCGCGCTTCATGCGGTGCGGCGGGATCAAGAAGAGGCACATGTAGCATGTGCATGTGCATGTGCACCAGCCCATTCCACAGCTGCTTCTCCTCGTCGAGCGGCATGTCGTCGCGGCTCGCCACCTCCTGCGCGAGGTGCGCTGAGATCCGACGCTCTACCTCGGCGACGACCTTGTCGGCGCTCGAGCGGCCAGGCGTGTCGACAAGCAGATCGCCATACCCGGGCGTATCGATCAGCGTCACGTCGAGCCCCTGCCGCGCGCCGTCGTACAGCGGCATCTCCTTGATCAGCCGCTCGACCACGTCCATAGTCTGCCCGCCGCCGCCGCCGCCACCGCCTTCGCTCTCCTTGTCCAAGTTGGACCGGAAGTGAGAAGGGCCTCCTTTTCCTTGAGCTTGCCCTGCAGTTCAATCACTTCACGACCCAGCTTGGCGGCCCCATCATCGTCTTGCTCGGCATCGCGCTGGGCGCGCAGCTCATTGAGCTCGCTGATACGCAAGGTACTGTCCAGTTGTGGGGAACCAGTGGCTCTGAATGCGCATGCCGAGGATCGAGCTGACTCAAAGCGCACGGGGTTGGTGCCGCCGACCGTCGGGAGGAAGCCGAGGAGTGCCAGGAGGATCCAGAGGGCGCCGACGGTGCCGATTCCGCCGCAGAGAGTGGCGCTCGAGGCCAGGCCGTGCGCGTGGGCCGGTCAGGCTCGGTGCTGCGGCGGGCGACCGGGCGCCGCACGGCCGGTTGGAAAATTCTTTGTTGGGAAATGCAAATTCTTTCTCTCGCTTGCGGGTCGATCATGTGTGTGTGCCCCCGGTGTGCCCCCGGCCTCTCATCGCCGTCGCGCTGCTGCCACTTGCGCGGTCTATCGCGCTCCCTGCTGCAGTCAGCCGCGCGACCGTGTCATCACAGCAACACCAACGGAGCGGCCCGCGCTTCCTCCAGCCACGAATCTGCCGTCGCAAGTTGTGGAACAAGAAGAAGAGGTTTGCTCTCCCCTTTGCTTGAGCTCACCAGCAGCCAGGGCTCGTCGATTTGGCTGCTGAGGCTTCTTTCGAAAAAGAAGAAAAAAAACCTTCGTTGTTAGCCCGCGAACGAGCTCTTTCCCGCCTCGCCTCGAAGGCGTGGAAATGCGCACATCCTAAACCCATTGTCTGCATCGCATTCCCACGTCACCCCTTGTGCCCGATCGTCTCACCGAGCGCTGTGCCGCCGCCTCCCGCGCCGCCAGACACGCCCAGCACAACGCGATGGCTGACTTTGACCTCGGCGGCATCTTCTTTACGGACCAGAGCGCAAACAACGGGGCCGGAGAGCGGCTCGCGGGCGAGGGCGACAGCGACTACCTGCCAGCCAAGGCGCAGCTCAAGTACCGCGAGTTCCTCCGCGACTTTCGCCGCGAGGAGGAGTACATCTACCGCTCGCTGCTCCGCTCGGCAATCGGGCTCAAGCAGGCACCCTCCCTCTCTCCTCCGCCGCCGCCTTCGTATTTGCTGCGGCGGCTACGGCCGCCTCCCTCCCGCACCGACCCCGTCCCCGGCCTTTGCTCCCTCGCCCTCGTCTGCGCCCTACCCGTCGCCCCTCTGCGCGACCGCCGGCGCCGACTCTCTCACGACAAAGCCTAGCCGCCGCCCACTCCACGCCTCGACCCCCCCTCCCCGGCCACCCGCCGTGCCTCCCGACGCCGCGCGCCTCGCCGTCGCCCCGCAGTACGTCGTCGAGGTCGACATCGACCACCTCATGATGTGGGACGCAAAGCTCGGCACCGAGCTGCTGCGCCGGCCGGGCCTGCACCTGCCGCTCTTTGAAAAGGCGCACCACCTCCGCCCCTCGGCCCGTTAGCTCCGACCTTCGACACCACACCGAATGCGGGCCGGTTACGTCACTCTCCACCGAATCTTTTTCACTTCGCTGTAAAAATTGCGAATCTTGCAAAAGAGTCAGTAAACAGCAAAATATTTGGGAA